CTGCTCATCCTGCCTTGTCAGCTGCAGGCACTCTGCCTGCTGAGCCCCACAGTGGCCAGGCAGAGGGAATTAGGAAGCTCTGACGGACATTTGCTATCCAAATAACTGATACAGTCATTAGCCATCCTAGGGAGTCTGTGCTGAACCCTTCCCCACAGTCACCATGAATGATGGGAGACAGCTCTGGGGGAGTGGAGGGCAGAGTTCCCACTGCTCCCATGGGCAGCGGGGCTGCACTGAGCCCAGAAACCTCGGGGCAGTTTGTGGGAACAGCTCAGGGCTGTCCAGCTCCAGGTGCCCCTGGGGCGGTCAAGAAGCAGCTGTTGTGTGCAGCTGATGGCAGAAACCTTCTGACAGGCCCAGTGGCAGCCCAGCAGGATCACTCCTGGGTGGTTCTGCAGCTGGGCAAGGACTGCCACCGGCTCAGCCCAAAGGGACTGCCTTTGGAACCGCCCCTGCACAAAAGGAACAAACGCGAGGCACGAGGCCTGCACAAAGCAGACCTTCCTGCATGGAAGAACAGGAACCAGGATTTAGACAAAAGCAAATGAAAGCTTAAACTATGCAGAAACTAAAAGAAGGCTGAGCCATGATTTTGCTTGCTCCTGTTTATTTTACCAGCCTGAGTTTGTTATACCTACAGATTTGTAGCATAAATCCATTGACATTATTTAGAAGTAAAATGGATGAATGAATTTCTAACATCATTAAGGTCTGTGGGAGTTATGTGGAGCTATACTTTCACTCTGTAGGCCTGAATACCTATGCTTTCTTCCTTACCCAAGGATCTGGAGGAGGCATTTTCTTCTACAAAAACAAACATAGATATCTTTTTCTCTGTATTCTAAAACTGACCACAATTTCTATACAGTCTGCTCTCATTCGTGTAACTAATCCCTAGTAAATGCAATATGAAGAGCAACTGTCTATGACAGCTCTCCTATAACTTGAATGTTTCCAAAATGGACAATTTTTCTATTTTGAGAGATTTGGCAGCACTGTTGTATATAATCCACAAGTGTTAAGCAAGAATGAAATTTATTTACTACATCTATAAATGATAGCCATTAAAATAATAGTGCTGTGTGGCGTATCTATGAAAACCTTGTAAAATAATACAGTCAAGTCTGGCAACAAAGTTAATAATTTGTCAGTAAGAAAACCACTGTTGGGCTTTTTCTACCCAACCCTCCACCTTTCTTAAGCCCTTTTCTTCTGAAGCTTCACATTCATTTTCTTAATGTTTTTAACCTAGTGTCTGTGAAATTTTTATTGCTCCCTAGATAATGACATCTGATCTGAATGTAACCACACACCTCTTTGCTCAGCAACATTTGTCACAAACCATTATAAATTATCATGCTGATAGTGTGCATTGCTGGGAAACCGGAAAAGTTCCATAAATTCAAAGCACTGTATCAGTGACATTCTTGTTTATTATCTAGGTATAAAGTTTTACTAGATTCAAGATGGCTGCATTTACACAGTAGGATACCTCAGCAACACGAGACTTGTACAGCTTGCACTAAGTGCTGAAAAGCATTTACCACATGCAAGAAACACTGGAGCATTTTAACTAATATGTGGCCATATGTTTTGTCTCTTCTATTAATTTTAACCATGTTCCTGACTCCAAGAATGCATGCTTATTATTGGGACTTGCTTGAGAAAAGGCAAAATGGCAAACAAAAACTACTTGTCTCCTAAAGTACAACCATAATTTCTGTTTCTTGGCTTCCTGAAGAGGAGGCATAACACTCATTAGAGTTAAATGTTAAAAAGACACTGTGAATTTTTTCATTATATATGGTCTTGATAACAATCTGTGGTTGACATGTTTGTGTACTTCCTGTCGAAACCCAGTATTTCCATAATGCTGGTACAGTAGTCCTGTCTAGAAGATTCTTTATTAGACGAACCTAGCTTGTATGAACATATTTTTAATTATTTGTGTATCTTTATTCTTCAAAACTGTGAAAGTTGAGTAGTTGGAATACCTCCAGAGAAAAATGAATTTTCACCATGTTTACTTGAAATTTAAAACAACTCAAATGGTTCTGATTGTCAGAAAAACATACATATATGAATTTTATTAGCAGTCATTTGAGAAATACTTATTCATTAAAGCATAGCATAATAAGTAGGTAAATCAAGGGCATATTCTTAAATTAATTCCAAACCCTAACATACAAAGAGACTAACTGGGAACAGCTTCAGTAACAGCTAGTGCTTAATTCTGCTGCTTTTGATTTTCCCCAGAGAATCAACCTTTCACCAGTTTTACATTTCAATACATCTAGCCCTCTATATAGAGCAATATTTTTTAAAGTTAGGTAAAGCCTCTTGATTTTCTTGTTGGCACTTCGGAACAAGAAGGTAACCTTTCCAAAGTCAAAATGTTTCCCTTCCTGGGCTCAGGGGGTCCCTGTTATTAAAGCTGTTTTCAATGCTAACTAAGGTCCAAGTTGCAATGAACAGCATTATAAAGAGGATTTTGGGAGCTAGGCCAGCAAGCTAATCTTCTCTAGTCTACTCTAATTGTATGGGACATTTTTTGTTCCCAGACATGAATTCCCTTATCTCTCATTTTCTATCTGCATTTCATATTTAAGTGGTTATTAATTTCCAGTGCTAAACCTTTCAATAAACTAGACTGTAACCTAAATCACACATTTCTAGATTGCAAACTGGGTTTCTAATAAGCTAAGCATATTAGAGAAACAAAATGTACTTAGCTGGAAAATAAAAAAATCTTGTGATACATTTATTGCATTAATCGCTGTTGTATTCAATATTCAGTACAAGGAATGTGAATTTTGTAAGTAGATGCTGAAATTTCAGACCACAGAGATTGTTGACAAATTCCTGTTGCTGAAATAATTGTTCTGGTCCTAAGGGTTTTTTTTTGTTGTTGTTGGTTTTTTTCCCCCACAAATACAATCCCTCTCAAGTTAAAAAGAGCAATTTTCAATATAAATGAAGCAGCAGCTGATAATTTAGCATAGCCTAGAAAATTAGTATTTCAGCACAGAGAAAATAATGGTAAAGTCATCACCATCATACACTGCAAACACAATGCAAACAACCCTGTTGAGAGACTTCCTTCCACCCACTACCATCTCATTACTGCTTTGGGCTCCATTTCAGGGGCAGAAATAATGCAGCGGGGAGAGTGGACAATGAACACTGAGAAGGAAGCACCAGAGGGAGGGAGTCAGTCATTTCCCTGGACCCAGTTCAGCTCAGTCTAGCACTGTTTAGCACAACACTGCGCCACAAAGATTACTTGTTCTTCAAATAATTGTAAGCTGTACACCATTTTACTGCCGCCAAAGACCATGTTGGTTTTACAGAGTTGGAAAAACATGCGTTCTAGCAAGGGAGAAAAAGGATTTGACACTGAAATATGCTTGATTTAATTTCCTAATTTGTCTCTAAGAGGCAAAGATTGACAAATATTTAAAGCATTAGCAGCATTCCACAGAATGAAAGCAAAACCCGTATCAAGAAGACACAGAGAACTGAACCATTGCCTGAGTACAAGACATTAAAAATTAAAGAATGGGAAGTCAGCGTGTGAACATATGGTGTGAATATGAGCTGCAGCTCCAACACCACAGTAAAAACTCATCTTCGCAAAGTTTAGTTTTACGAGCACAGGGTTTTCCTGCATTATCACTCAACTATTGCACTGCAATGCTCATCTATAAGTGGTTGTAAAATATCATAAAAAAGCAACTAAGTACCACAATGCATCATTAAAAACTTCATTTTAAGAAAACAATAATTATGATCTAAGCAATCAATTTATTAAATAATAGGACAAAGACATGCATAGTAAAATTAAGTGCTTGAGTACAGTTGCACTCTTTCCCTAAGTCTAACACTCTCATCTCATGGTCTATCACAAGCACTCCTGATAAACTGAGCATCATTTTATGGGACCAAATCCTGTATACTACCATGAAATACCAAACACCACTGGCTATTGAGTTTCATCTTTCTGACATGCAGAGAAAATCTTGACTGGTAGCATTAATCAACAGCAACTCTCTTGCAGTTATCAGTAGGGGATAAAAAATTATGATACACAAGAAATATTTAAATAACTATGATACTCCAGAAATATTTAAATAATGAATCACTAAAATATTTTCTTCATGCAACAAGCTGGCTGAATTCAGAGGGCATGTTGAAGAGGGGAACGATCTGACCATATGTTGCCTTGTGCAAGCTGCGAGATTTACAGATTTGGGGAAAAGTGGAGAACAGCTTCTGGGAGGTTCCGATTCTCCTTCTCACTTTTGGAATGGGTGGCCAAAGGGAATGCGAGGACAGGGGACAAAGGGAGCTCAGCTCCCTCCTTTCTCCTCTCAGGGCACTACAGGAGAGCAGGAGGAGGGGAAAGAAAAGCTACTGGCTATAAATCAGCAGCAAAGGGAGAAATAAGGAAATACAACTATCACTTCTGCAGTCCACCGCCCCTTGAAGGGTGAGGGTAATTGCCAGACTAACTCTGCGTTAAGAAGATTTGCCCATTTATAAGCAGCCTGTCTCTTCCATGCTCTGTTTGTAGTCTTGGGGGTACAAAAAGAAAAGGAGCTCCTTTTTGAAACCCAAACAAGAGACTTACAAAAGCAAGCGGGCCAGCAAACGGTGCCTCACCACAACCGCGCCCCCACTCCGCGCATCGCCACCGCCCCCCGCCCGCAGCGCGCCGGGCGGGAGCAGCTCAGACGCAGCTTGCAAACCTCAGAAAGCGGTGAAGACATTTTTAACGCGCACACACACACAGACAGACAGACAGACAGACACGCACACACACACTGAGCTCCCTCCCGCTCGGCCCCGGCGCGCAGCACGCCCGCGGAGTGCCCGCGGCGGCCGGCAGGTGTCGCCGTGGCGCTCCGCAGCGCTGCGCGGGCGGCGCTCGCTCTCTCGCTCTCTCTCTCGCTCTCTCTCGCTCGCGCTCTCTCTCTCTCGCTCTCTCGCTCACTCACTTGCAGTCGCGGTCCTCCAGGTCGAAGTGCGGGTTGAAGTTGATCATGATGCGCTGGTACGGCTCCGGCGCCTGGATCAGCCACTCGCACTTCTGGCTGGGGTGGTAGGACTGCGGGTAGCCGGGAGACGTCAGGTACCCGGGGCTTAAAATTTTGATCGTGTCGCCACACTTGTCTGCGGGGGAAGCGAACACACGGGCTGGTCTCAGTGCCCCCGGCAAGCGTCCGGGCGCAGCCCGCAGCAGCGGACCCGGCAGACTGCCGTGGGAATGCTGCGGGGCCGCAGCCTTCTCCAGGCTAACTTAGCATCCTTCTGCTTTTAAAGGCATCTGAGCTACTTTCTACCGGAGGGAAGAGGTCTCCCTCTCCGTCCCCCATTCCTTAAATCCGATGGCTGGAGAGACAACAGATAGCAGAAGGCATCCCCATTTCTAAACAGTATCCTTTTAAAAAGCCCGCCACTCCGACAGTACCCCTTACAGTGTTAAGGCCTTGCCCTTTAATAACAGCTTTAATGTTGGCTGAGAAGCATACATGGGACACAATTAACTCCAAAAACTATACTCTTCTTAAGTGTGAAGTTTCAAGAAAAGCTGGGAGGAGATGTTAAGAGATGCTATTTGACCCCCTGCCCAGCTATGGGATAAGTCTGGTCTGTGTCACTGACCACTGGGATTGTATTGGTGGATCCAAGCAGGACACCCTCCCTTTGTTTTATCAGTCTATAAATCTAGGCAGGTTGAAACTATCTGTGCTCTTCAAACCCAGGATAGAAGAGAACAAAGTAGCTCTAGTGAAGCAGAAATCATCCGCTATTTACTCTTTCAAGGACGTTTGTTCATGCTTGGAGACTGCATCAAAGTAATGGAGCAGAACAACCTCCCTTCCTCTTCCCCTCATTCCTTCCTCCCCTGAACAACAACAAAGATTCATTTCTAATAGCAAAATAGTTGCAAAAGTTTCTAGAATCACAAAGTGTGACGTTGAAATGTGGTATGCTGCATCTTGCTCCTTTGGTCAGGATTGTCAGGGTTGCATTTTAAGGTTTATAGAAAAAAAAGAGACAAAAACATCCAACCTACAGAGCCACTCACTTCACTGTCCAGTGCAGGTTTGTGTTATCACTTTTTTTACTACTATGGATTTCTTTTTGTGGACCTTCAGGTAGGAAAAACTTTCTCCAAGTGTTGGTTGTTTAATTTTGAGCAATAAAACATGACCGTAAACTATGGATAGGAAGAATGTCCCCACTAAAGCAAGACTATATATCACTACATCTCAATAATGGTATATACAGGCTGCGCTACTCTATCTAATACATTCCCTGTGAAAGCAAAATGGCAATCCTTGCTCTCAGCATGAATTTATAAATATACAGAATTTATTGTAGGAAAAACCAGGTCAAATGGAAATGAATGAGGAAGCACACATCAAAAATGCATAAAGCAACACTCTTTATAGAAATTATTTGCCATAAATTAGTAGGGAAGTGGTTTATAGGTACTCAGATGTATGGTCAAAACCCAGATAAAGCTAAGCACGTCTCTAGGAAAGGCTATCTTATTATATTTCTGCTGTGCCTTTGCAAACAGGCTGTTTTCCTCTGACCAGAACAAAAGCCATTGGTGCTTAAAGCTCAAAAGCTGTCACTGGTGATCTTGCTAATCCGCTGTCTGGGGCTCTCAGGGAATCTTGCCTTTTCCTCCCTGTGTAAGCATACTCGGAAAGTGATCTTGTCTCATTAAGCCCACTCCAGCCCTGCAAACATCATGGCAGGGTCTGGCATCTGTTAAATGCCTGAAATAAAGCAGTGCTGCTTCTAGTCACTTGACAGAGTCACTTCAGAGGACGCTGAGGTGGACTCACTACCACCAGCGCTCCTTAATCTGCGACTTCTGGGAAAGTGACAGTGTAATAAGATAATGCAGTCTGCTAGACTCCTTGGCTCTGTGCAATCTCTCTCACACTTGATTAAGAAGAGCAGTTTCTAATGACTTTGGACCATTAGTCCCAAATAAGGTTAATGAATTAATTTAGTGGACACTAATACTGCATGTAGGGGAAGGTGGCATTAGTAGGTCTGGTAGGTTGTAGATGAGGTTAATGGCCTTGGTGACTCCAGCAGGACCACCACATTAACCACTCGTGGTGGAGGCTTCTGCCCAGCAACTTGCTCTCCTCCTCTTCTTTTCACAGGGAGAAATGATCAACAAGAGCATGGGGGTGGCTCCCTTCTGTCTCTCAGAGGGACAGGGTGGCAGTATGGGTCTCTGTGGGAGGCAGCTGCCCACACCCCGAGCTGGGCTGGGGGAATGAGCAAAGTGCACCTCTCGGAGCATCCCCACACCAGGCTTGATGCACCCCTCTAGCACCTTTGCTCCTGTGCCACAGCACTAGAGGAGGCAGCTCCTGATTAAACTAAGCAGCCTCCTCAAAACATACTGGGAAAGGGATTAACTTCCATCATAAAACACGTGATTTTAATACTCTTGCTTGACACTCCACTCGCGGTCCCTTATTAAAACAACATACCAGTGTAAGTGGAGGGTGCTCACTTCTTTTAATTACTTTGATTGAAAACCCAGTCAGGCAAAAGTAAATATTTGATAATTAGTTAATAGTAATTGCTCAGGATTTCTCCGGAAAGGAAGATTCACATGAGCTGTTTCATGTGCAAGAGCTAAACGTCAAGCAGTCCCACAATTAGACCATCTTTAAAAATGCATCATGCAGTAAAATATTCACAGTGCCCTGGCATTGTTCGGGGAAGGAGGAGCACGCTGCTTTTAATTAGTTGTGTTTTCAAGGGTTGCCTGACAGTAAACTAGACACACCAGTCATTTGTTATGGGATTTCTCCTCTTGGAAGGGAGTCTCGAGCCTTCACAGAGAAGCTCAGCTCCCCTCTTGGCACAGTGTAAGTTGCACGTAAACTGCAGACTTGGGAAAGGGGTACTCTAGAGAGTGCTCCGTGTGAAGACTATTCGCAGGTACACACAGAGCTACTAGTAGGCACGAGCTAAAATTTTACGCTTTGGAAAAGAGAAAGGGCGTGCGGGGAAGAGAGCCTTCCCTTTAAAGCTTTCATTATCTTTCAGATATCGAAGGAGAGACGTTTAATTGCCTATGGGACGGGACGCTATTAAGATAATTGGCTGTCCTAATCTAGTGAGAATGAGCAGCCTGCTTTATACAATAACCCCAAAAAGCAGAAAATAAAGTCGGAAAGCATTGTCGGGGCGGGGGGCGACCCTCAGACGAGGACTGCGCCGCATCCCTCCTCGGGCAGAAAGTTCCCCCCAGCCGGGTTTGTGTCGGTGCCGGTCCCACGGCCCGCCGGGCACCCCCGCCCGCCCCCGCGCCGGCAGCCCCGCAGCTGCCCGAGCCGAGACGCGACGTCCCCCGTGACACTCACCGCTCCGCAGAGCCCTGGCGAGGGTGAAGGTGAGGGCTGCACAGTGTAGGAGAAGTCCCCAATCCATTTTCCCTTCCGACAGCAGGGAAAGGAGGAAAAAAAAAATAAAAATGCCTTCCACGCACAACTCTTCCTTAAATCCTCCAGCCGGAGTGAGGAGCAGAAAGCACGGTCCGCAGGGGCAGTCTCGGGGACAGAAGGAGGCTGGCTTCTCTCTGTGCCTCAAGCCGCCCGCATCCTGTCATTTAGCTCCGGCTCCCTCTCCCTTTCCTCACACTTGTTCCTTCTCCAGGAGCCGCTGCCCCTGCCATTCCCAGCGAGACTAGAAAGCCAAATAAAAAACGAGGGGGAAAAAAATAACAAAAACAAAACCCAACAAACACACAAACAAGACAGACAAAAAATACTGGCGGCTGCCGACACCTCAGGAGCGCTCTGCTGGGCGAGGGTGCTCTGCGGAGGGGAGATAAGGAAGGGAAAGCGGCCGTGAGCGGGGACCAGCCGGGGCTGGAGTTTGGCAAACTGCGTCCCCCCTGCCTGCCCGCTCTCCAGCGGCCGCGGCTCCCGCGGGGCCGGATCCCTGGAGCCGCGGTGCCCGGCGGTGCCCGGCGGTGCCCGGCCGTGCCCCGCACTCACCTGCCCCGGCGGGAGGCGAGCGAGCGAGCGCGCTGCCGCAGCAGGCACTGCCGGCCGGCGGGCGGGGAAGTGGGAAGCGCCCGGGCGGCTCCTGCTCGCAGCCTGAGGAAGAGGAGCGCAACTCAGCGGCAATAAGAGAGGCCGAGGAACCGCCGTCTCCCAAGCCCCAGTCCCCTCCCCCTCCCCGCCCTCCTCCTTCTCCTCCTCCTCCTTCTCCTCCTCAGCCCCCCAAGACATCGGCAGCGCGGAAGAACGAACAAACAAACACGGCAAGCCCCAGCTCTGGCACTCAGCCGAGGCGGGGACTGGCGAGGGGGAACGCGAGGAGCAGAGGGGGGGCGAGAGGCGGCGGCCCCCGCCCCGGCAGGTAGAGCCGATGCGGGCGGCGGCACCACCTGCGCCCGCCGCCCCGCGGGCTCCTGCGCGGCCCCGCCAGCCCTGCCGTGTCCTGCCGTGCCCTGCCCGGCCGCCCCCGTCGCCCCGGCCCCACACACAGACACGCACACACACACGCATCCCTGCCCACCTCCCGGCTCGCTCGCCTCGGGTGTCCCGCGGGAACCCTGCCCCGTCCCTTCCCGGGCCATCCCCTCTGCCACCTTTCCCTCCTCCGCCACCTTCTCTCCCTTCCAACACTTTTTTTGTTTCGTGCGAGAGTGCGTGTCCCTCGAAGTCCCTGCCCTTTCCCCATTGGGACATCACCGTCCCTTGTCCTAAGGGAAGCAGGCTGTGCTGATGTGGGGCGAGCTGCCAGAATTCCCCGTCAGATTACCTACCCCCAGGTGTCAGGCTCGTCTGGCCACTGCATATCTGCATCTCGGGGGAGGCCTCCCTGTATCCCCTCCCTTCCGACTCTTCCCACCTCCCTTCTCACCCACTCTTGCTGTCATTCCCGTCTCTCTCAGCTCCCGTTGCAGCTTTGCCCCCCTCAGTCTGTCTGTCTCTCATGAAGCCTCTTGAGGGGCTGAGGAGCTGCTGGGGTCCCCCAGGGCCGACTCTGCTCCCGAAGGAAGCTGTGCAGTGTGAAATCCCCACTGGGGAGTGTGTGTCTCCTCCTGAGTATTCTTCCTCCACTCTGGCACCAGGGGAGTGGAACAAAGCGGGGACATATCAGGCTCTGAATCCTGCTGCTTTGGCTGCACGGCCTGGTGCTCACAGCCTACGGGCCCTGCCTCTTCCTTGCCCTATTGCCCTGCCTTACAGGCTGTCCCTGCACCTGGGGAGTGATCACCTTGCTGAACACAACTGCTTCTTTTATGTGGAGTACTTTGCACACCCTCTATGTGAGGGCAATCCAGTTGCTGGGATAGGGGTTACAGGAAGAGCTCCAAGGCTGAAAGCTGAAACACAGTGTTAAATGGCCCCCAAAGATGGCTCTATGATAGGAAAACTACCTGCAGCCAGTGGTGAATGTCAGCCTCTGTCATGTCTCAGAGCAGTATGAAAACAATTTGTTGCTGGTGCACAGTAAAGGCAAACTCTGTTAGTGCTTCCTCAGGAAAAAGGCCTGATAGAAGACCTACTCCATAAGAAGTTTTTCTGAAGGATGCAGTGGGAAAAGGGCTGGGTTTTGCTGAGGACAGTCATCCTCCAAGTGTAGCCATGGCGGTAAACCCCTGTCCACTCTGAAGATATAGCCCTGTTTGAAACAGTTTTCAAACATAGCTGTCAGTCTGCAGCCACACAGATTAACTACAATTATGTTACATCTGTGTACAGAAACCATACTCAAATCCATCCCTTTGTCTCTAGCCCTGAGTCTGAGATTTCTCCTCTCACTCTCCCTTGCTGCCCTTTTGAAGCCCTGAGTTTAAGGTCAGCTGAAGTCTGGAGATTAAGTCTGTAGGAAATCTGTCTGCTGCACACTCTCTCAGCACTACTTTCTGAGTTTTTTCCAGACATTCCCCTTCTGTTCTGTGATTACAATTCCCTAATATTGTACACTAAAATGCAGTTTGATCCTGTTATACTTTCTGTACACTTAATTCTTTCCTTTGTTGGTTTCTGCTTCTGCCCCTGCCCATGACCCTGCTTCTGCCCATGCCTGTGTCTGCAGGCGGGCTAGAAACAGGCAGGCTGGAACTAGTCAGATTGAGTTATTGGGTTCAGTCTCATTTTCCCATCTTTAGGCAGTCTCTGGATCATCATTTGCAATACTTATGCATTTTCCTGATTGATTGGGATGTATATTTTATGGGTAGCACATTAAGCCCCCTTTATTTTTTTTTTTCTTTTAGAGACCTTCCCAGAACACGGGGGAAGGGAAGAGTTAACAGTGCTTTCTGATTATTAAAACTCATTCTGCTGGACAGTCTTTGAGATAAATGGGTTCTGACCTGATCATAGTTTGATTGTTTGAGCAACAATATAGTTTTAAAAATAAAGTAAATCTATTTTTGAAAACAGAAATTACCTGCTGATTTCTTACTAGTTGCTTACTAAGGGTTTGCAGAAATATGTACATACATGTTTGTTTTAAAACCTGTTCCAGCAACCAAGATTAATTCTCTAAGTGACAGATACCCAGAAAGCATGTACATCAAAAAATACACTTACTGCATGACAGTGATGGCCCTCTTGCTTTGGGATTAGCATTTTCTGTCAAGTGATTTCTAGGAATCTGCAGAAAGGAAATAATCATTGCCAGCTGTATGCTGTAAAGATGCTCCCAACCAACCAACCAACCAACCAACCAGGTAACCAACCAACCAACCAACCAACCAACCAACCAACCAACCACTGTGTTTCATTGATTTTTTTCCCCTATCTGATTAATAATTTGCTTTTTACAGATGGAGACATAGTTTTTAGTAGCTAATGTATTTTAAAGAAATTCCTTTCTCTGGAAGAAAACACTTAAATGCAGATAGAAAGTGTACATTAAGGAAGATGGTACAATGTGATAAATTGTAAGATAATGGTGAAAGTTGCTTTTATCACCTGAGCCTAGCCAGTAATCACTAATCCATATACCAAGGTTTATTTCAACATGCTTGTGTCTCAAATATCAGTGCTTCCTCTTCTTGCAGAGACAGAGATGTGCAAAAGGCTGCAAAGACAGCTGGACAGAAATGGCCTCTGTTTGGGCTACCATGGCCCATAGAAGAGGATTTCTGCCCTTCCTCAGCACTGCGTGAGCATTTTGGATCCCACAATGGGCCTTTATTATTTTTTTTTCCCTGTTGATGTCTCAAGGCCTAGCAAATGTACCAGAGTCTGGTATATTAATGTCCTTCCCTATCATAACATGAATGACAGTCTAATTTTTCCACCCATCTTTTTCTCTCTATATAAGCACAGTTTTCTCCTGTATATGAATTGCCCTGAAATGATGAACGAAGACATTCTATCCTTGGTTTACATGTATTTACCTGAAAATATTTAATCTTTAATAATCTTGAATATAAACTGGCATCAAATGAAACATTCAGAAGTGTCTTTTTATAATCCACTTCTCACATTTTAGTCATGGAATTTTAGGTCCTGATCCTGCAACTGCTTACACATTTGTTCAGCTCTCCATTTTCACATCAGTAATGGGATTTTATGGCAAGGATGAGTTAGTGTTACAAAGACTGAATCTGAATCCAATGTACGTAAAAGTTAATGGAGTGGCTAGCTTTGGGGTTTGGGTTCAGGCCCATCTTTGCTTCATAATTTGACTTGGTGTTTATAATGCTTTTTTGAAGATTGTCTGCACTTCTGTTATAAACCTGTTTCTCAAGAAGTTTATAATTCAGCCATAAAAAATATTTGCCTTGGGCTAAATAATGTAATATAAAACTTAAAATTCCAAAGGAAAAAAACCCATTTTTTCCTATTTTAACAATAGCAAAACGGAGCAACTTTGATGTTTATCCCTTTATGTACTCACACAGCACTTTTAATTAAAAACTAAGTTTGGCAAATGATTAATCAATGGCTGAAGACACCTTTATTTGGAGTTATTTTGAAAAAGAAACACAACAAATTAAACTCATCCATAATATTAAAAGCCTGAAAATGGAGACTTCCTATGAGTATTTAGTGCAGAATATAAATATATTTACTTTATGACTGTGTCTACTAATATCTTCATATACAGTCTGGTGCTCATTTATATCCTTTTTTCCAATGTTTTCCTTTTTTTTTTTTTCACTTATCTTCCCCAATAATCTCTCCAAAACTAGGCTTCTGTGTCATCTCCTCTTCTGTTGTTTTGGCCATATGAATCACTACTTGGCTTCCTGTTGCTTACTGTACTGAACCAGAGCAATTTACCCTTATCTTTAAGATCAGACATACATTTTACCTTGTCTATATATCTCCTCTCTCAGCCCTTTTATCTCCTACATCTTTTATCCTCCTACTCAGCCTCTCACACCCAATGCTTTTTCACCCTGTCCTCTCACGTTACACCTCTTTTCCACACACAGCCACACACATCTAAATGATCCTTCTTCTTTCACTGCACTTCTTAGCCTTCTCCAAAGAACCACTGCAAATACATTGATTTTCATAAACTGTGCCATCTGATTTATACATTATTTAAATTTACATATGGCCATGTGTTGCAATATACATTCATATCCTAGACTCCATTGGTTAGAGATCAGATTCATTTGATTTTACATCGTCTCCACACTCACTACATTGTTGGGCTCAGATTCATTTTACAAATATCTTAACCAAACTCTTTGGAATCACAACTGTGCCATGACATAAATGCCTTATCAATGTCCATCATCCTGTCTAAACACATTCCACTCCAAAAAATTAGCACAGCCCCAGGCTTTATTAGCTGATTATCTGATCATCAGAAGTCCAATGTTTTCATTTGTGTCAAAGGCAAATTATCTCACATATCATTATACTCCCATTTTCAATTTGACAACAAGCTCATCAGGTCTCTCTACAGCCTAATTCCTCTATTGCTTGCATTGCTATAGCTGCCAAAATCTAGACATGGTCACCATGTCACCATGTTCCTCCAAACTGTCCCACTCCTCTTTTTTTATTTTCTTTTTTTTTCCTTTCTTCACTAATATTTGTATATTTTCAGAATAATCTGCTTTTATCTAAAATAGGAAGTAGACAGCATATACAACATATGATTTACAGTAGGGTTTTAATAATAATGCCTGATCAACTCAAAGGTTCTGAAGTAGCTGTTTCTGT